TCACAGAAACATCAGCATCTATAAAACAAAAAGTTCTTTAAGCTGTAGTTTGCTATATAATTTAGAGTCTAGAGCAGAGGCAGTAAGCTTTTTCTTTAAAGGACCAGAGAGCAAATATTTTAGACTTTGTGGGCCACATGGTTTCTACTGCAGCAGTTCAGTTCTGCCTCTAGGCAAGTACTAGGCACACAGCCTGGCTGTTCATCTATACATTGTCTGTCATTGCTTTGGCACTAAAAAAAAAAATATTGTTGGAGAGCTCCACATAGCCTAAAAGATTTACTATTTGGGCTTTATAGAAAAGTTTGCAAATTCCATTAACATTTTGGGCTAGGTAATTCATACTTTGCCTCCAGGAGGAGGGCAGTGTCTTTTATTGAGAACTGCTGGTCTTAAGAGTTCAGGAAATACTTAGTTCAGCTAAGGGACTTGCCTCCAAACCCACCGAGCCCCCTTTTTTTGATCATTCTGATTAGTGGAGTTGTAGCTTTGGTTCCTTGCTTAAGCTTAAGCTCTGATTTTCAGTGTAGAACTAGAAAGCCCAGTCTGAAACATGAGCATTTGAATGCATTCCTCCCTACACTTGAAGTCAGATCACATCCTGATGTATGACACACATTAGATGTAGAAACCTGCCTCATCTGTAGTTAGCTTGTCAATTTTTTTTTTAATACAAGAACCGGGGTATAGGCCAGATACGCAGGAGGGTGAGAGGATTCACCAGAGACAGAGCGGGGAACAGAACAGGCAGAATGACCAAAATACACTGCTGAGGGGAGCAGCGGGCAAGACAGAAGAGATCTGCCCCGCCATGTGGGTTGCTTCGCGGCCAGAGCTTGTCAATTTGAACCGAACTTACTGTCTCCCACTATTTAGCTTTAACCCATTTATACCAGATCTGAAATTTGTCCCTGCATTTGTCTGTCATACGTTTCTTTTTATCTATCTCTTTACCACCTTTGACTTAGCCAGTTGGCTAGGCCTGAGCCTCTAGTGAGGCAGTATTTACCGCTCATTCAGATGGGTGCAGCAACTAGGATAGCCCGAGGACAGGTGAAATAATATCCAGAAGGAGAATGCTGCTCTCTTGCTCTATCTTCTTCCACATGAAGAATTCCTCCCACCTCCCACTCCCTGTTTATGAAATGAGAAGTAGTATTGATTGGTTTGGTACAGTGTATAAAATATGCATCTAATGGAATGGTATTTTGGGAACTATTAGCAGCCTTGGCTCTACTGAGCCCCAAGGTTTTGCCTTCCTCCCCTTTTCTCCTCCCCTTCTTCCTCCTCCTCCTCCTTAGTAGCAGCTTCTTAGCAAATTACAGGCTTCGCCTCTGGCTTGCTGGATAGCAGTGGCAGTGCAAGCCTTTTCTAGTTTCCAAGGGAGACCGGGTGCTGAGACTGCAGTCTTTCCCAGCAGCCACTTACCTTTCTTGCCATTCGTCTCCACTCATCTCTTGACCTTCATTCTGCTATGCAGGCCTACACAAGGAGGTAACAGTATGTTTTCTTGGAGCTCTCTTTGTCCAAGGGGGCAGAGGGAAAGTCAGATGGTTCTGGGTAAGGCATATGGGGACAGCAGGGTATAAATGCTGTGATTAGGGAAAAAGTAGCTGTGAAGCTGTCGTATCTGTGAGCTTGTTCCTGTGTGCTGTATCTAGAAATGCTATAAAGGCGAGGGCCCCAGTGCTACCTCATCAACTTAAAAGTGCCACATATAAAAATGCAAAATTATTGTAAGAATGCCTCTGAGAAATGTAGAAGAAAAATGAATATCTTTGCGAAGAAAATAAAATCAATTTGCTTTAAACTTAGCTGGCTAGCTGCATTCTTGGCAATATTCTGTTAGGTTTGCTACAGGAACTGGGTCTGGTTTTCAGGTTTAGGGAGAAGACTTGATAGTAATGTTTCTTAATTGGATTTTCAGGACTCATGGAACTGTGTTGTCCAATGTGATAGCCAATAACCAGGTGTGGCTCTTTAGATTTAAATTAAATATTCAGTTCTTCCATCATACTAGCTACGTTTTAAATGTTCAGTAGCCACATGTGACCAGTGACCACCATATTGGACTGTGAAGGTGCACAACTTTTCCATTACTATTCAAAGTTCCATGGACCGTGCTGAAGAAAGTGATCTATGGAACAGAGGATGTTTAGTAAACCAATGATTGGCATTTTATTGAGAAGACTTAGAGGCTACTTTTCCAGAATCAGTATAAATATGGATTCACTATGGTTTAAAGCTAAATGGGACTTTAAAAGCTATAGACTTAGTCCCTTATTATAAATGAAACCATGAAGATTCCAGGAAATCGGTTCTATTAAGGTCAAACAAATTCATGGCAGAGCTGAAACCAGAAGCCCAGTACTTGTTCCTTCTCCTTTGCTCCAGTGGTAGCTTCACACTCCCAATTAGAAGTAGAAGCTATTTCCTATTAGACACAGGAAAATGTAACTAAAACCTGCCTCCTAGGGCAACTGGAGAACTGCATCCCCTACTAGAGAAGTTAGCAACTGAGATTACCTGTCACGGACAGTTTGTTCACAGCAGTCTTATAGTGTGTTCATGGCAACATCTGCGAGTGTAAAAATCCTCCTTTCCCAAGACACAGTATTGATTATGGCAAACTTTGGAAACATCAGGAGATGCTTGAAGAAGTGTGATCATTTAGGCTTTTCCACTAATTCCTGTCACTGCTAGATTTGGAAAAGAAATGTCTTGCTCTGTAAATCCACAGCATGGGTCCAAGATACTGGATGGAAGAAAGCTTTTTTTATTGTGGTGTTGTGTGTGAAAAACTGTACTGGGAGCAGGAAGTTCAAAGGGCTATCTGAATAAAATAAAGTAGAAGAATGAAAGAAAAATAACCGTGATTTCCAAAGAGAGAACAAAATTGTTTTCCCTAAAATGAGGAGAGAATAAAATTTTCTTCTGGAATGTACCTTTAGGAAGTTGGTTTTTAAAATAGCTTTAAGGGATCCTACATTTAAAATATGTACTGAAGAGAGAAGAATACTTAACTGATTAGCTTCAAACAGGAAAAGACCCAAGTTGAGTATGAGAAACATCCCTGCGGGCATGGTATGGAAACATATTTGAAGAGGTGTGAACCACTACCTAAAATATATGGTGTAGTTCTCTTTATTAAATTTATTTCTTTTTTTATATCACTGTTCATTTCTGTACAGTATTTAATTTCTCCCCTCAGGTGTAGTTCCCATAGTTCTGCTGCCACCACAGCACCCGTGACCATAGTCTCTTGTGCTCCCCAGTTTTGAGTTCTCCCCCTCCCCTGCTGTGTACCTCAGATCTATGGTCAGCTTGTAAGTTTTGTCTTTTTCCTGACCCTTTGATCTGTTTCCCTATATTCCACCTATAAGTGAGACCATCCAATATTTTCCTTTTCCCTTCTGACTTACTTCACTTAGCATAATCCCTTCCAATGCCATCAATATTGCCCCAAATGGCATGAGTTTATCTTTCTTGATCGCTGAGTAGTGTTCCATTGTGTAGATATACCACATGTTCTTGATCCACTCACCTGCTTTGGGGCATTTAGATTGTTTCCATTATCTTGGCTATTGTAAATAGTGCTGCAATAATTTCGAGTTAATGTTTTATGTCCTTTGGGTAGATTCCTAGGGGTGGAATCACAGGTCACATGACAGTTCCATTTTTAGTGTTTTGAGGAACCTCCTCACAGCTTCCACAGTGGCTGGACCCGTTTGTATCCTGCCAGCAGTGTAAAAGAGTTCCTTTTTTTCCACATCCTCACCAGCGTTTGTTGTTGTCAGGTGTGAGGTAGTATCTTCTTGTGGTTTTGATTTGCCTTTCCTTGATAATTAGTGATATTGAATATTTTTTTCATATACCTGTTGGCCATTGCATTTCTTCTATGGAGAAGTGTCTTTTTTAGCTTTTTTGGCTGGGTTGTTTGCATTGTTTTTGTTGAGGTGTGTGAGCTCTTTGTAGATCTTTGATATCAATTCCTGATCAGTTGTATGGTGTGCATATATTTTCTCCCATTCAGTAGGGTGTCTCTTCATTTTGGTTACTGTCTCTTGCTGTACAGAAGCCTTTTAGCTTGGTTATTCCTGGTTGTTTTCTTCTCTTTTGTTTTCCTTGCTTCTGGAGAAGAGACTGCAAAGATGTTTCAGAGGTTTATATCATGGAGTGTTTTGCCTGTGTTTTCTTTTATGTATTTCATGGTTTCAGGTCTTACATTCAAGTCTTTTATCCATTTTGAGTTGGTTTTTGTGTATAGTGTGAGATGGTAGTCTAGTTTCATTCTTTTGCATGTGGTGGTCCAGTTTTCCCAACACCATTTATTGGAGAGGCTATCCTTGTTCCAGAGTATATTCTTTGCTCCTTTGTCATAGATTTATTGACCATATATGTGTGGTTTGATTTCTGGACTTTCAATTCAAGACATACAGTGTTGTAAACCAATGTCAGGTCAATAGTTTAAAAGTTAAATTAATAAATAAAAAGCAAAAAAACAAAAAAAAAGAGTATATGTCTTTGTAGTATTCAGAATGCTGTGGTCATCAGTTACAGAATACTTAATAGTCTTATAAAACAGCTTGTCATTCCTAGCACTAAGTCTTGTGTATAAAGATACATATGCAAAGGTTATTTCAGATAGGCCAAAAAGAACTGTGGTATCAGCCTAGAAACATAGCTATAGGGGAAAGGGAAAACTTAGAAAAAGAACAGAATCAAAGATTGATGACTTCAAGATGTCATTTGATCTCATTCCAGATAGAGATGATAAAATTATTTGTATTTTTCATATGAGTCAATCAAGGCCTAAGGAGATATTAAAACACTCACCCAAGGTAACATTGTTATTCAGTAATAGAACTAAAATGATTACAATTGTGGTCGCCTAAGTTCATTCTTAGAGTGTAGACATCACTTCAATATGTGAAAGCACCTTGTCAATACTCATGTACATGCAGCAGAGATCTTTTATCTGCTATTTTATTTCTCTACAGGTCATATCTGACTCCTGTAAGGGATGAAGAAGCAGAGTCTTTACGGAAAGCACGCTCCAGACAAGCTCGGCAGACTCGAAGGTCTACTCAAGTACGCATGAACTCTTGCCTTTAGGTCCTTTTGTGCTCTACTTTTCCTTTGGGATACAATTGAAGAATAGTATGATGAGCTTCCTCAGTATTCAGTATCAAAGCTTTCACCTGTGTTCAGTCCTATACCCCACAGAATCGGATGAACTTATGGCTACATCTACCTGGTCCCACTTCTCTCCTCCAGGCTCAGACATGGTTTATCTCCTTTCCTTCCTAAGATTAACCATTCCACTTACATGGAAAGGACCACATCTTAATCCCCCAAAGAGAACCATTTGACAGCTCCTCAAAATGTTAAACCTAGAGTTACCACATGATCTAGCAATTCTACTCATAGGTATATATGAAATGAAAATGTATGTCCACATAAAAACTTGTATGCAAGTGTTTATAATAGCAAGACTCAAAATTCAGTGTTATTTCTGGCCAGAGTTTATTTACTGTAGAGACCATATTTATGTACAGAGTTTGCAAACTTTCTGTAGAGTTGAGCCCTGGCCTCCCAGCTACAGAAAGTATTTAGCATGTGTGGCTGGTTGTACCTCAGGGGTCCTCAGCAATTGTGGGAGTGGTAGATCCAAGCTGAGCCATTGAACAGAGTTAACATAACTGAAACATACACATCCCAAGTTTCCAAATTGTTACATAAACAAATGCTGTATATCCACACAATGGAATAATATTTGGTAATAAAAAGAAATCACTGCTAGTGCATGCTAATGAGACAATGTGGATGAACTGTATGAAAGTATTGTGCAAAGTGAAAGAAACCAGATATGACTGCATTATATGAAAATGCCCAGAATAAGCAGATCAGAGGTTGCCATGGGCTAGAGAGAGTGAGGAGTGGGAAGTGACTCCTGATGGATGTGGAGTTCCCTTATGGGGTGATGATAATGTTCTGAAATTCATGGTGACGGTTACCCTACTCTGTGTGTAGTTTTAGCTCAATAAAAACATTATAAAGAGAGTAAAAAAGAATCCCTAAAGGAGCCGTTAAAGTAAGAAAAAGTTTGGGGGCCTCCCTGGTGGCGCAAGGGGTTAAGACGCAACACTATGAAGCTAGCCACAGCCTCTGCAGCACAGTCAAGTTCCATCCCCGGCCAGGGAGCTGACCCACATGGTGCAGCAGACCTCTCCTATCTTGCCCACTGCTCCGCTCAGCAGTGTATTTCAGTCAGTCTGCCTGTTCTGCTCCCCACTCTCTCTCTGGTGAATCCTCTCACCACCCACACTTCTGGCCTTTACCCCTGTTCTTGTATGCATAAATAAATAAATCTTTTTTAAAAAAAGTAAGGAAGAGTTTGATAGACTCTACATTGTATTTTTGTAAAAATCACTGTGCAGAGAATTGATGGGGTTGCTGGGCAAAAGTGTGTTCTTCAAATCTGGAAGCAGGGAGTCCTGTTAGAAACTGTTACTGTTGTCCACTCTGGAAATAATAGAACCACAAGCTTAGGTTGTAATGGCAATGAGATAGAGACAAAGCTATAAATAAGTGTTATTTAAGGAGGCAGAGGATGTGAATAGGCCGATGAAGCAGAATAAAAAGGAATATAGCCAGAGGAGGAAGGTAAATCAGGAAATAGTGGTGACAGAGAAGTGAATGAATAGTCAGTTTCTAGTGAAAGGGGAAAGTTCAACAGTTTTAAATGTTATAGATGTCATGTAAAAAAGTTCAGGACTGAAAAAGGAACATTATATATAACAGTGAAACTTTCCTTGCTATCTTCCCTGACCCTCCCACAGTAGATCGTGTCCTTCCTTTATAGTTTAGTACATCAGTTACTTGGTTTTCTTCAATGAATTTTTGCCTGTTTCCCCTAATAGAATGTAACCTCCAAGAGGACCAAGATTGACTATACTTTTGTTTTATTGTAGTCATATACACATAACCTCTTTTAAGTGTGCAGTTCAATGGCATTAAGTACATTCACCTTATTTTGTAACTAGCCCATCATCCATCTCCTGAACACTTTTCATCTTCCCAAACTTAGAACCTTTACCCATTAAACAATAACACCCCTCCCAGCATTCTACCTTTTGTCTCCATGAACTTGACTATGTACCTCTTATGAGTGGAATCAGAATATTTGTCATCTTGGGACTGACTTTTTCACTTGGTGTAATGTCTTCAAGTTTCATCCATGTTGTAGCAGGTGTAATAATTTTCTTCCTTTTTAAAAGTAACATTTTTTTAATGTATAGACAGTCATGTGTTGCTTGACTATGCTTTGGTCAACAGTTGACTGTAGACACCACAGTTGTTGCCACATGCCACAACATATCACCTTGCTTGATAGCCACCAATTACCCTCTATAACGTCACAAAATGACGAATTTGCCTAACGATGCATTTCTGAGGAGATAAGCCCCTGATTCAATGACGCATGACTATACTCACATTTTGCTTATGCATTCATCAGTTGATAGGCACTTGGATTGCTTCCACCTTTTGGCTGTTGTGAATAATGAGATTATCTTGACATTTTATTTGACAGTTAAATACCCTATTTAACTGGCTTCAGTCTATTTCTCCCACCTCTGCAAAAAATAAAAAATAAAAAGGAGGCGGGAGAAGCCCCAGCGGAAGTGAAGCTGCTTCAGTGTATACAAATGATCTCCTCGGCACCCTGCTTTCAGTTCTTTTGGGTACATACCCAGAAGTAGAATTTGCGGGATCAGATGTTTTGTCTTATACTTATATTCCATTATACTCATCTATTTTCTTATCTTTTCCGCTAGACTGAAAGGTTTTTGAGTAAGGAATCAATTGATTTGTCTTTGTAGACACAGTGCTTAATAAGACACTTAACTCCTCATGAAGAGGATGAGGGAATAAATTAATGAACAATTTTTTTTAAGATTTATTTTATTTATACAAGAACCGGGGTACAAGCCAGATGCGCTGGAGGGTGAGAGGATCCACCAGAGACAGAGCAAGGGACAGAACAGGCAGAACAACTGAAATATACTGCTGATGGGGAGCAGAGGGCAAGACAGGAGAGGTCTGCCCTGCCAAGTGGATTGCTTCGCAGCCGGTGGGGATCGAAGCGGCACCGCAGAGGCTACAGACATCCTCACAGCGCTGCGCTCAACCGCCTGCGCCACCAGGGAGGCCCCCTAAATTAATGAACAGTTTTTTAAAAAATCAAGTTATGGATATAACACTTGCTTAACTGCATTCCAGCTTTGGAACTTCCCTCTTCTGAGGACTTAGCACATAACTGCTTGAATTAGAATCACCTCGCTCCCTTCCTGACCTGTCCCCTTCTCCTAGACATGTCTCTTCATTATTTGCTTTGCTTATGTCCTGCTGCCCCTGTGAGCCTGGGGGAAACATTCATTGCTGGAATATCTCTGTGTGATTCCCTCATTACTTGGGAAATGATGATACAGAAAAGCCAGTTTAGAGATTTTTGGGGGAGGTGGGATGAGAAGGAGTGGTGCTTTTATTCTAGCCTGGTTCTGAATCTTCACCTTTTTGAGTCTAGCTAGTCTTTCTTTTAAGTCTGATTTTCTTGAGTAAAATCAAGTTTTCCTGGTATCTGCTATTTAGAGACTCCCTGTTGCTAAACACTTGCCCTCAGGAAGGATAGGGAACATTAAAATGAAGGTGTTGAGAACTACTGGCAGGAGGACGTGCATCTAGCCAGGCAAGCTTCCCCGTTGACCTATTTTCTGGAACTCAAATTGGAAAAACAAATACTATGTTTGAAACATACCTCATTCAGATCTGGGTTCTCTGCACACTGGAATGTTCACTCATATTTTGTTTGAAATGGCCTCATGCATTTTGGAAGCTTCATTTGAAATTTGATACTGTTGAATCTTTTAGGGAGTTTCCCTACTCTCATTCATCAAGAGTTACTCCATGATTAGAGTGAAACTTCCCTGACCTTGTAATATGTTCCCAGGGTGTAACCCTAACGGACCTTCAGGAAGCAGAAAGGACTTTCAGCCGATCAAAGGCAGAGCGGCAAGCTCAGGATCAGCCCAGCCCAAAGCCCAGAGGCACTGAGGGACTTGAGGGGAGCACTGAGAAACATGAGTCCTCAGCAGCATCATCAAAGGAAGCTGGGGAGGACCGACAGGGCGGGAGTCTGGATGAAGAGGTGAGCTGCTTTTGTTGGCATATACTGTACTAAAAGCTGGGTAATTCATGTGGGAAATTCTTCCTCACTGATAATTCAAGTGCTTTGCTCCTTTGAAGTGGACAGATTACAGAAAAATCTATTTATGTCTGTCTTTAGTTGGCAAACCTGTGTGACTGAAAGAATTCAGAGGATGTCAGCCTTAAATAGTCATTTTCTTCCTCCGAGAATTAACTAATGCTTGACCCCCAGTTTTAATGAGACATAAATATTGACATAAACCATTGTATTATATACAGACACACAGCCTGATGAACTGATTGCCACATTAACTAAATTTTTAAATTACGTAAATGTAATCTTCAAAGAATTTAGTTAATTTCATCTTTAATAGAATCTCTTCTATTCTAAAAAGACTAGTCACAGTATAATAAAATACAAATAGAAATTAAGCATTTACTCATTGCTTGCACCAGGCACTGTTTATACTATGTCATATGTATTCATTTGTTTAACCTTCAAAATAGCCCCCAGGTAGATGTTTTTATTCCTATTTTAAATATGAGGAAATTGAGTCACAGAGAGGTTAAGTAAGTTTCCCCACATTTCAGATAGCTAAGAAGTGACTAAGCAAGAATTCAAACAAAGGCAGCCTGGGTCCACAGGCATTAATTATTGTCTTAATCTCCAAATGCCAGCAAACTTGAGTTTACAAAGCACCTTCGTCCCCGACCACAAGATGTCACTGTCGGGATGGACACTTTGCCTTGCTTGCTACTTCTCAAGAGGGATTGGTAGTCAAAGGTATAGTATTATATTCAGGGTGAATATAACTCCTGGTTTACTAAGATGTTCCAGCTACCTATGTTACGCTACGTGATTATCAATAGCCCTCCTTTCACTCTCAGAGTGTCACAGTTGTGATAAATTTTACAATCACCATAGTTATAAGAAAAAGGAATTTCTTTCTTGTCCAAACTCTGAATGGTTAGGCTGCATAAACTGAGCTTCTGTTATTTGTTGTATCAGCTACTATTTATTGAGTACTTATTAGCAGGTGCTATTTTAAGCTTCTAGCACATTATCTCATTTAATCCTCACAACTCTCTCTGAGGAAGATATTATCCCTATTTTATATAGAAGGAAGTTGAGGCCCAGCAAAGTTAAGTCATTATTTAAGGTTACATAGCTAGTAAGTGCTGAAGCTAGATTTTTAACAAGTTCTATCTGACTCCAAAGCTTACTGCATTTTATTAGTTATTCTGTATTTTATAAACATGTATATAATCTCTATGTTAATAAGAATTTCTCTATCTCTGCATCTTCAATAAACCAAGTTAAGGCCTGTTGTCAGGTTCTATCCTCTCAGAAAAACAACTCCAAGCAGAAAAATGGGATTTTTAAAGTTTCAATAAACCTGGCCCTAGAGTTTTCAGAAATTAGTAGAATGCTCAGAGAAGAGACCAAATAGCTCCTACATATTCCTGAACTTTTAATTTTCCAATGTCAACATGACCTCTCAGCTCTTTATCCTAAAACACCATCATACTTCCTATTTTTACTCCAAGATCAGAGGAATTTTTACCAACAAGGTTAGTGCTATTTTGTCCCCTTTAGTCTATTTAGGAACAGTTTTCTTGGGCTTCTATCAACATGATGATGCTACCGCCGTAGGAGCCAGAAGTTGTTTCCTTTCTTGCTGATTTACTGGCATTATAGCTTTTTATTGAACAGCTACTACTACTAAGTCTCTTGCTACAGAGAAAAAGCCATTTTTAGTAAATCTGCTATCCTTATCCTCTGGTTATACTTGACCTCTCACATCCGACGGATAATTTCCAGCCTGTCTATCGTCGCCTGAGGTGTCCCGGTCAGCCAGACAAACCCACATCACCAGTGTCTCCTTCTGCATCAAGATCCTCTCTCTACACCAGTTCCCATATGCTTCGGACAAATAGATCTTCAGACCCTGATTCGGAGAGCTCAGAGACTGCCACAAACGCTGCATCTGCAAAGGAAATGGACAAAAATGGTAGGTAGAGTTCCAGGAAATGCAAGCCTCCCCTCCCCCCACCCCCCCAGTGCATATGCCCCAGATTTCTAAAATTCATACTTTATTTACCTCTGTCCAGAGAGTGAAGAAGCAGACATAGATGATCAGTCCTCTAACAGGCTCCGTGACAGGAGGCGCAAGGAGAGACGGAGAGGCACGGGCATCAACTTCTGGACAAGAGATGTGAGTAGACATGTGCTGAGGTAGCTCATGTGCCCTTGGCTGCCGAGGGGAGTTCAAAAGAAAAAGAGTCCCACATGGTGCATGAACTTGCAGACTGTTAAGAAGTATTACTGAGGAAAAGGAAAGAAGACCAACTAGTATGTGTATGTTCCTATTGGATGCTAAGCAGCTAGCACAGTGCCAAGCACATAGTAGGCACTCAGAAACCATTGGTGAAGAATGAAAAAACTGGAAATTTACAACAACCACATAAACAAATATAAAAAGTAAATGAACTTGTCAAATTTTAGCAGTCCTCCCTAGATTTCTGGAAGGATTGCTAAAAGTCCCATAGTCAGTAATATCTTAGTACCCCATGTAAGCAGAATTTCTGATTAAATATTTTAGTAGAACAACAGGAATTTCTGGGCCTCCCCGGTGGCGCAGCGGTTGAGCGCTGGGTTGCGAAGCTGCCCGCAGACTCTGCAGCGCTGGTTTGATCCCCGGCTGCTCCCCGGCCACCGGAGGAGGGTCCCGCATGGCGCGCAGACCTCTCCTGCCGCCCACTGCTCCCCTCAGCAGTGTCCTTCGGTCCTTCTGCCTGCTCTGCTCCCCGCTCTGGCTCTGGTGAATTCTCTCACCCTCCCGCGCTTCTGACTGTACTCAGTGCTTGTATAAATAAATAAATCTTAAAAAAAAAAAAAAAAAAAAAAAAGAACAACAGGAATTTCAAATAACTTAAAATCTGTAAGTAATACAAGTACATCTAACTTGATTTTATTCTGGAGGAAAAAAGGAACAAATAATGCAAAAGAGATTGACTTTAAAGTAAGAACAGGTACACCCATGCCTGCTGACTAGAAATACACATTTAGCACTGTAAGTCACCTTCTTGTTCTATATCCTCACTCAGCCTTGTTATTGGCATTTTAAAAAATCAGGTGGCCAATAATGAAGAGATCAGTAGTTAAGTGACTCATTTGAGTGAGACAGGAAATAAAACATCAATAGTCATCTATTAGAAACTGTTCTTTAGATAAAAATATTTCATTGTTTTAGGACCAAATAGACTAATACCTGTTGACAAAGATGAAATAAAGCCCATATTTTCTTAAAGATACCCCTTTTCCAATTGTGGACCACGTGATGTGTTTGACTACAGGTAATGTTCCTAGACTCCCTGCCTCTGGCAGCTGTTAAAAGCAGCACTAACAGATCATTCATTACTTGGCAGTCAATTCTCACTGCCTGCATTTGAACTGCCAAATGCATAATTGATGAGAGCAGACCTTGTTGTTTTCAAGGATGTCTATGACCATGATCCTCTTGTTTTTCTTCTTCCTTGCTTTTCAGGATGATGAAACTGATGTCTCTGAAGAAGTAAAAGAGAAGTGGGTAAGTGACAAGCCAGTGAGGCATGTTCCTTTATGACTCAGCCCTGCTCCTGTGCATGTGATTTAATAGAGGAAAAAGCAGACCTGTGCAGATTCGAGTAGAAGAGAGAGATTGGAGATAGACATTCCTCTGAGAAAGGCAGAGAATGCTTGGTTGATGCTTCTTTTCTATGGTATAACAATCCCCATGCTCTTGAACAACTTTCCTACATTTTTCTATGCCTTTTGCTGACCTCCCTAGCAGTTACAGAATCCATCTTTTTCTCTCATAAGTATTATTGGATTATGTAAAGTACCTTGAAATCTTTGGAAGAAAAGTAAAGAGTGATACTGTTTCTCTTATGGATTACACTAATAAAGAGGAACATAAATGTGAAGACATCAAAGAGTCCAAAAGTCATTTATATTTTACTTTGAAATAAGGCTCAGTGTCTGATCTTTTACAACTCAGACCCTTTAAGGTCTGGCATCCAACTTTTCTCCGCAGTTATGACAAGGACCCAGCTTTCTTACTAATCCAAGTTCATGTAGGCCACACAAATGTGATAAAAAGTTAGTGGCTTTCTTTATAAAGCTATTGTTCAGGAAGGACAGGATTTGGCTTTGACTAAATGAATGTTCGTTTCTATTAGAAATTATGTGAAAACATGGCCATTTTGTACCCTACTTGAAAATGTTTTGAAAATATATTTAGTAACACATATTGACAATCTACAACTAACTCATCTTTAGCAGTCATTGACCTGTCTATGTATTCCTCAATGTCCACAACAGTTAATGATGGCTTTGCAATTGCCTGCCCTTGAATGAATAAAGCCAAGGCTCCTTCCCAAGGATGAGCCACATAGAGGTTAGCTTTGGGGCCAATATGTGTGTGCATGTGCACAGCAGCTCTTCAATTTGAGTTCTTGAAAAGGCTTCAAGAGGCTTTTGGAGACACAGAGATGAGTGTAGGAAAGTTGCTTTGGTAATCACATGATGCCCAAGAAGAGACTCTTGAGTAATAGAGACAGAGCACTGAAAGGAACTATGATCTCTCCAGAGTTGTTGACATCATTGAAATCTGTGGAGGGAATTACAATAAGGAAGGCTTTGTTGTCACAGAATGTCTTTTGTCAGTGAAAATCTTTGTGTCTACTTTTCTAAACTTCTTTTCTAAATTACTTGAAATGAAAATCCTAGCTTCGGGTAAGAGTAAGGAAAACTAAGATGTTCTTGATGCAGGGCTTCTCAGAGAATTTCATTTTAGAACTATTGACTTGAAGTATAAAAAGATTTCCTGACCAGTGAGGAAAAGCAGAGACTGTTGTGGTTTGCCATAAAAGTTTTTTGTCTGACTGAAAAATATTCCATTCATCCAATTGCTTGAGGCATCTACTAGTGTTTTCCATGTGTCAAGCAGACTCCAGTGTGCATCTGAGAAAAGAATAAACAGCCTGTTCTCTCTGGATTGGTTACTTTGAGTGTGTGTGGGTGAGCCAGAGTTGCCATAAGCATATTCCAGGTGCCACTGTCCTATCCCGCCAACAATGCAGAAGACAAGACTGATCAGCACAGGCATTTTTTTCCTTTTGGTAAAAACCTTATAGTTTCCTGCTTCATTACTCCAGTGCATTTCAATAAAATTTACCTGCTTTCCTCTGAAGTATGCTCATCTAACACTAACAGAGTAGCATGCCTAGTTAGGGCACAGTATAAATTGCTACATTTTATTTCAAGACGATAATATATGATGATGTTCTTTCTCCCCCACTCATGTCCTCCCATTGGATGGCAGAGTTCGCTGTAGCATGGCACTGTTAGCTAAGCAGCTTGTTTACTGCTGGAAAACCAGGGTAGTTCTTTCTTTCTTTTCTTTTCTTTTTCTTTTTTTTTGGGGGGGGGGTAATTGGTTCACTACTGAGGTCACGACAACTCACTTCTCTGTCTTTGTCTGCTCCTGTAGAGTGGTAGAAACTTTCATTTTTAAAGTTAACTCTTCCCAGTCTCAGTGTGAGGGAGCTTATTCCAATCATAGCTGAAAATGCTTTTATATTCAGGAGTATGTTTTCTTTACCAGTGGCAACTGCACAGAGTTTTTACAGTGGTTGAAAGCACAACCGTGGGCCCACTGCAGAAGGGATGGCCGTTGGCAATCTTTCTGTCCCTGGTCTTTGGCCAGCCTTCCTTTGCTTGGACCTACTACATTCTTGTGCTTTTATTTGTTTTATTCCTGTGAAGCAGACTATTTTCCAAGCCAATTTTGTTGTATAATTGAGTTTATCACTAGAGGGCACAAGTGGTCAAGAGAAAAGAGATCAAAGACAGGGAGCTTTTGTTTTGAAGGAATTGTTGAAAAACCCAGTTCAATGTAGTCAAGTTCCTTGCCTCCCAACTTTTGGTATCTTAGAATTAGAAGGGATATAGAAAGAACCTGGTTTGGGAACTTCATTTTACCATTAAGAAAACTAAGGTCAAAAGTAGTTAAGAAGTTTTTAGGGACTTAAGCCCTGGTAGGTAAGCACCGAGGCCACTGCAACAGGGAATCTTGTTATTTGACTGAAATTCGGGCTCTCACAGGAGAGCCCTGGGCTATGCCAAAGCTCAAAGGGGAAGAACCAGCAAAGGAAAATGATGAATCCTAGCACTTGGCTCTGAGAATATGACTTCAGTGTCCCACATTTTCCAAAGCAAAATCAAACAAAACACACACGGAAGAGTAGATGGTTCTGTTATTGTTATTTTATCATCCCCCGCCCCTTCAATGTATCTAGGGAGGTTACCTATGAAATCTGCTGGGTCTGTTGTGGCAGCAGTGGAGGAGAGCTGGGTGTCCAGAGCACTCTCTGACATCTCTTGAAATAGAAATTGCTGCTTCTCTGTAAACCTTGTCTATAGTGTTTGAAATGCAGGAATGCCGTAAAATTTCTTTCTTTTTTCCTTTGCATCAGAGAGATTGTGTTGATTAATCCTATCTGCAAATAATCTTTTAAATTGATTCAGCTTTTGGTTTTCTTTGCTTTCCCTAATTTTCCTGAGTTTTATCTTTGAATGATTCACATTTCCAATTCACTTACAAAGAGACTTTCTTTGTAAAACTTATTTCTAGGTGATATTATATACTAAATTCTGATTTATTCAATAGTTGTATGATGGCTAGAATGGCAATTACTATAGACTAAATTTTAGCACTGAAAAGGACTTTAAAGACATTCTAGTGTAATTATCATTTTAAAAATAACAACTGAGGCCCAGAGAGAGTAAGCAACTTGCTGGGATCATGTAGTTCCTACTTAACTACTTTAGATAAGTTGTTTAAGTCACTGTGCTTCCGTTTCCTCATCTGTAAAGCAGGGGTAATGAAATTATCCACATCATAAAATTGTGAAATGAAAATGAGTTAGTACCTCTAAATAATTAGAAGTGATTGAGGTCCATTTCAATTATTTTCCAAATCTATAGGTCCCAAAGTCTAGATGAGAATAAGACTTTTTGGATTACTTTCATTGACCTTAAAATCATATGATTGTGAAGTTATTAATTTATCCATAAAGAATAGATTGTTTGGCAATCAGAGAAGTAGCCCGTCCTCCTCAATAATGCCAACAATTATCTGTGTTCTGAAAATGTACCTGAGGAATTTTGAGAAGTAAAATTTAAAATGGATTGCCCAAGTAAGGGGAAAGAAATGAGTAAAAGTGGAAGGGATGAAAACTAAATATTACATATTTTGTTCAGAATCCAGCAGAGTTTGAGCAGCTGATGAAGTCCTTGTGAATTTTTCTGTCAGCCAAGCAAGCTTCCATTTTTATGCCTAAATTGTGTCTCATGTTTCTCTGCCAGTGTTTCTAATAGTTCTAGTTTCATAGATCTTTATCACCCACCCCCCACTCTCTTCGGGTAACTAATAGCCCTTTTTCCTGTTCTTATTTTTCACAACTTAACTTTTGGCTATTTCCTGGATCTTTCTCCCTCTCTCAAAGCAGTGCTTTTTAATCTTATCATTAATCTTTGTGAAGCCCCTTCATCTGCTGGAGGGCATCCAGCAATTTTCCGTTCACTCTCCATGCAGGGCAATAGCTTTGTCTCCCTCCTATTAGGTAAAATTTAGGCCTGTTTTACTCTGCCTTCTCTCTGGGGCCTCACTGCCTAATATGGTAAGGTATGCCCCAGACAAGACTGCACTGTTGAGATAGAACAACAGCTTGACTGAGTTTAAAGACATGGTAGGTGAGCTATCAGATAGAGATAGGTGTTTATGTAGTAAAGTAATATTTTTCACAGTATGCCATATAATAACCACAATCTTTCATTTTATGCATGTCTCTCTTCCTTTTAATAGAGTAAGAGGATAATAAAATATAGATTTTTCTCCCTCCCTAAAAATCTTTAGCCAGATAAGAAAAAAAAAAAGTAGTTTGTTCTCAGAATGAGTGGGTTTTAAGAAGTCTGAGAAATTAAAAGTGTATGTTCATATGGATATAACAAATTAGGACAGATTTAACAAGCAATGACATGCAAATAATCCTGTTGTAGCTAGTTTCTGGGAGTTGGCAGGCACTGCACATGGAGAAAAGCAAGCTGTCCCGAATTCTTACAGTTGATGACAATGGACAGTCCCAAGAAGGAGATGGAGAGAGAAACGGCAGCCAACCACCTCTGTGTGTGGGAAGCTGCCTTTTATCCTATGTGTGCCGAGGAGCTGCTCTAGATTTCTCTCCTGGTTAACTCCACTTAGCCTGGAATAAGCTTTCCTTTCATTGTACATTTGCACTTACTTTGCAACTATAGTTTCTTAAAATACTGCAGATGCTGTGATTTTCTATATATGGATCATACTTGTGCCTTGCTCAAGCCTAAGCTGTATAAACCATCTTTAGAACAAAGTTTCTTTTGGCATCTTCCTTTTAAGGAGGCCCTGTAATTTTTAGATCCACTGTCCCATTACATCAGGGATTTCTGCTTTAATTAGAAATCTTCAAGACACAATAAATTGATCTTCTAGGTATCTGTCTTCACTCA